AAGTTAGTTATCTGGGCTTCTTTCCTTTAACCTTGGCCCCTGCATCGTGTGCCAGCAGGGCCATAACAGAGCGCACAGCCTGGGTGCCAGAAATGGATTGTGCCTCTGTCCTGGGGTGGGAAGTGACATCAGATTACTGGCAGGGTTTCCTCCTGGGGCTGAGAGGGACAGGCCGTCCCAGACCCTTGTTCTTGGCTTGCATATGGCAGTTCACCCTTCTGGACCCTGATATCCTCCGAGACCAAAGTGTCACCCCGTTGTGTGTGCGACCAGATGCCATGTGTGACTCACTCCCAGCCACACAGGTTTGGTCAAGCTGGACTTTCGGTCCATCTGTCCAGCAGAGCTATGAACATTCAGCCAACTTCTTCCAGACTCTGCAGTTTGGGGAGGGAGAAGTCAAGGTTGGAGCCGTTCAACAACCCAGGTATCACCGTAACTGTGCTTCTGTTTGCCACACAGGTGCAAAAATTAAAGGCTGATTAACATCAGAATTAAAATCTGATTCATGTTTCTTCTACACCTTGATTTTTATTAATATGTGTTTGCGGTACATAATGATTATATTCAGAGTGGAGAGCTTGCACGGGTGCACAACCCCTCTGAATTCGTGTCACACCTTCCCCCCTCCGACCTCCGCCATCTCTTGGACCCCTTCCCATTTGCAAATGGTCTGTTGCCCTGTTTCCTGTTATCCATCATATATTTTGCTCTCTTGTTTATTTATGCTTTGAGTTTCTCATGTAAGAGAAGCTGTACAATATTGAAGGTGATGGTCTAACTGTTTCATTTAACACGGTCTCAAGGTGCATCCATTTGCCTAGAAACATTTCAAGCGTATCCTTCTGAGTAGTATTCTATCATATAAAAAAAGCTGCATCTTTACCCATTCATTAGCTGATGGGCAGTTGGGTTGTTTCCAAGATTTAGCTATTACGAATTGTGCGGCTATCAACTTAGGTTTCTATGCATCACTGTGTGAGGATGTTTTTAATTCTTTCAGGAAAATACCAACAAGGAGAATGACTAGATCAAATGAAACCTATAGTCCTAGTTTTTTAAAGAATCTCTACACTGGCTTCCATGTGGTTGCACCAGTCTACACTCCCACCAACAGTGGAGAAGGTCCCTTTTTCCCCACAGCCTTTCCAGCATTTGTTATTGGTTGATTTCTTGACAACACCTATTCTCTCTGAAGTGAGATGCAATCTCAGCATTGTTTTAATTTGCACCTCTTGAATGACCAATGATGTTGAATATTTTTTGTATATTTAGTAGCAATTTCTACTTTTTCATCTGAGAAGTATCTATTCATTTCAGATGCCCAATTATGGATGGTGTCTTCAAATTTGGGAGGACCCTGATTTTTTTCCCAGTTCTAAATATATTCTAGATAGTGGTCCCTTGTCTGCAGGACAGCTGGAAAAAAAAATGTTTACCCACCCTGTAGGTTATCTCTTCAGTCTTTCACTGGTTTCTCTTGCTGTACAAAAGCTTTTTAATGAGATGAGATCCCAGTTGGTGATTCTTTGTGATATTTCTTGTGTGATTGTGTTTTGTTCATAAAGTCTTTATCTACATAAATGTCTTCAAGAGTTTGTAGAGGATATTTTAGATCTAAATAGGTCTCACACCTAGACCCCAAAGTCTCGCATCCATCTCACAGGTCTGAGTCAGTCTCCAAGAATCATGATTGCAACATTGCCCAAAAGTCCAAGTCCAAAGTCTCCTCTGACACTTAAAATGAATCTCAGCTTTGAGCTCTTGTAAAAATGAGCAGAAAAGTTGCATACTTTCAACATACATACAGGAAGAGAAGTACATGGGAGGAGTACAAAGCTAGAGAAAAAAGGCCACACCAAAACAAAGTCAAAACTCAACCAGACAAATACTAAATCCTGAAGCTCCATTCCTGGGCCTTTCCAGTTACTGCCCACATGGACGCTGTCTCAAGCTGACTCTGCTCCTGACTGTGGCTTTCCTGGATAAACATTCCACATTCCTGACACCTATAACAAGGTCTCAGTTGAATCCTTGACTTCCCTCTTCACAACTGTATGGACTGTCCCCTCTAAGACTTTCTCTAAGGTCTCTGACCCTGCCACACACTTCCTGACCTCACTGGCCTCCTTTTGAAATCTGGGTAGAAGCCCTCATGCCCTGCAACGCTTGCATTCTGCATGGCTGCAAAATCATCAGCACCAAAGTCTGCCGCCAGCATGAGCAGAAGCCAGGCCCCCTTGGGCCATGGCTATGGTGACTTCCAAATGCCCAAGCATAATGAAACAAATCCTGGGTCAACAACTTTCTAGGCTGGCCTGTGCAAATAGACGCCCAGCACTCAAAGCAAAGTCTTTCAAAGAGGGCCAATGCTCATATCTGGATATTGCTTCAGCAAAGCCTTATCCACTCACAGGAGGGGCTTTGGGGAAGCTGGGCTATGAGTGTGTGATACTGGATTAGTTCACCAATGAGCTTACAGCTGTGTGTGATGTCGTGGAGCGAAGCCTGATGGGAAAAGGAGGTAGCCTGGAATGGTTTACATTCCTTCCCCACCCCGATCATGTGCTTTCTCCTCCGCCATATTCCTCCACCCTAGTACCCTGCCTCTAAGTCAGCTGACTATAGACTGAAACCTCTACAAACTGTGAGATAACATATATTATCCTTCTTTAATTTGTGGGTATGAGGTATTTTGTCCTAGTAACAAGTAATATACGGAGTTCTCACTTTTACAACGTTGGCCCTACCATGAATAGAGCCTAGCCAATTCCTGAGATGCCCTCAAAGCATCTTTCTGATTGCCCAGGTGCAAAGCACTTGACTTCCTTTTAATAGCATGAATGTCTTCAACATTCAAGCCTTCCCTAACCTTGGCTTTACGGATTTATTTCTGATGGAACGGCAATATTTCAAATCCTTCTCTGATCTTTGTTCCCAGTTTTCACTCTAAATCTGGTTAAATGCAGCTAGTCTAAATGCTCACTGAATTGAAATTTCCTCCACCAGATAAACTAGCCATCTGTCACCTCACACCAGCCTCACACAGTCTCAGACCATAAGCAAAGCATGGAATGTTCTTTAGCAGATTGCAACACACATGGCCTCTAGTCCAGTTCCTCCTGCTGTCCTCACTGCTATCTGAGACCTCCTGAGCCTGGCCCCAACTGTCCACATTCCTGTCATCATTCTGATTATTGGAGGTCTGAGCTGACCTGCCCATTAAGATCATCTTACAGATTTCTAAGGATGCTCCATTCTGTTTCTATAACCTTTCCTATAACCTGCTCCTTCTGCAGCCCAACTTCAAAGGTTTCCTAACCACATTACCAGGTACATCCACAGCAGTGACCCCATTAACAGTTTCTATATTAGTCAGTTTTCTGTTACTGTGACAAAACATCTGAAGAAATAAACTTGAAGATAAAAGACTTATTCTGTCTCTTGGCTTAAGATGTTCCAGGCCATGGTCACTAGGCTCCATGATTTCTCAGCTTGTGTGAGGCAGACTTCATAGCAAGAGGACATGGCAAACTGTCCTCTGGACTCCCAGCCGGTGATATTTTGGGAGATGGTGTAATTTTTAAGAGACGAGATCTAGTTAGAGGACGTTGGTCACTGGGATCATGACTGCAGGTCATGCGGGGCCCCTGCTGTTTCCTCTACCCCTCTTTGCTTCCTGGCCACTCTGAAGCAGAAGGTTTCTCCACCACACCTTCCCCACACCGCCAAGTGACCATGCCTGCAGCCAGGCGCCAAATAAACTCATCCCCTCTTAAACTGATTTTCTCCATGACAGAAAACTGACTGACACAGAAACTGAAGGTCTAGCCTGAAGGATAAAGATCTAGAAATTCCCATGTTAAGCCCACTTAAGTCAGGGGGTCCCTAGCTTTCTATTTTTTTTTTTTTTTGTCTTTTTCCTTTTTATTGGTACCAGGGATCGAACTCACGACTGCCTGCTTGCAAGGCAGGCGCTTATGCCACTGAGCTAAATCCCCAGCCCCCTAGCTTTCTATTTTGTACCCCAATTCTCACCTCTGCCGGGTGGCTCTGGGCAGATCGTAGGTCCAGGCTGTCGCCCTTTTGTGTAGAGAAAGGAGCCCTGTTCTCACCTGGCTGCTGCATAAACACACTTAGCTCTGATCCTCTTCACCTCGGTCCTCACCCACCCCACCCCTTTTAGACTCAGCCGGCACCCCAGTTCCTGAGGAGGACTCGGTGCACAAGTCATCCTGCTTCTTAGCTTTTCTGGATGACAGGGTATGAGAAGTTCTGCGGATTCATTTTCCCACACTGCACCTGCTTCCTGGTGGCCCAGATCTGCTGCTGCAGCAGCGCTGATGTCTCTGAAAACGGCCCCTCTGCTCCTGTAAGGAGCACTGCAGGGAGAGGATCCATTCAGATGGGCTCAACCCGCCGTGTTCCTCCCCAGAAGCTCTGTGCCTTCTGCTGGTGCCCTTGACCTTAGCGGCCTTGGGGGACTGTGGTGCAGAACAGGCTGGGCATTGCCCCGTGGCAACAGCTGGTGTTTATGAAAATAGTGTCTGTAAGGTACAACCCTAGACCAGGCTTTCTCAATCCTGACACCTCAGACCGGGCATTCTATGATGTGGGGTGCCCCTGGTCATGCAGGCTGTTTAGCTCATTCTGGGCCTGCATCCACTAGAGGTCTGCACCTCACTGCCTTCCAGATGTGACAGCCAAAAATGTCTCCAGACATGGCCAAAGGTCCCTGCAGGACATTGATGTCCCACCTGAGGACAATGAACCAGACACTTGGTGACACCACCTCTTTGTCTCAGGAAGGTCCCAGGCCCCTTCCCTCACCCTGGAACTGGACAATAAGGCATTGATCCCTGTCCTTGGGCAGGTCTGGATCCCCCTGCACCCTCATCCACAGCCCCAGATCACCCACATGCTGTGCACTAGACCTGACCAGGACTGCTGGGAGGAACTGGGTCCCATCTAATGTCCTGTCTCTCACCATCTCCCCACAGAGCCAAGGTGAAGAAGGGGGTGAACATCCTGAGTGCTCAGACCAGCGAGCCGCGGCAGTGGGACGTGAAGCAGGAGGTGAGCAATGGAGGGAAACACGCCACCACCACGGTGGCCTGCCAGCGCCTCAGCCCGGGTGCACGCAACAGGTAAGCAGCCCCCAACACTTCCTCAGGCACCAGTCATGTGTCCTGCTCCTGTGCCCAGGTCCTGCTCAGAGGCCAGCTCAGCCTTGCCTTCCCTGCTGCTCCAGAGCCATTAGTCAGGAGAGCCCCCTGGAGGTGCACAGAGGAACTGCAGCGCCCTCTCCCGCTGAGCAGCCCTCAGCTCCAGGCAGGTCTGAGCAGGTTTCTAGGGTGGCCCAGATCTGGCGTTGGGGCAGAGTGATGTCACCCCACAGGACCTGGGCCAATACCTCTGTCCCCCAACTCTTCCTCTCGGGGCTTTTCCCCTCTGGAGAGTCAAGGACACTTTCTGATGAGCTGCTGATTTCTGTACAAAGGCTCAGGCCTGTCTCTTGTGAGAAGCAATTTAAAGACAGGTGCTAACAGGTTGTGATAATAGAATCCGGGCTGCAGGCGTGAAGTTCTCCACGAACTTGGTGGATTATCCTGTAAAACCCTCATGTCCTGAATGTACCAGCACACACGCCTAAAAATCTCAGTTACCATGAGAAAAAGGAAAACACACCACAGCGTCCCTCTTCCCAAGGGTCCTGCCCTGGTATCGGGCTGGCTGCTTCCCTCCTGGTGCCCCGCACATAGCTACCCTCCGTGTATGCCAGAGGTGTAGCAGGTCCACGGTACAAACCTGGAATCATAATAGACACACAGATTTTAAGACTCACCTGTGTTCATATTTTCATTTATATTGGAATCACTTTCTCTTGCCTATCAGTATTTCTTAAAAACAATTTGCATTTCTTAAACAGTATTTCCTAAAAATAATGGCCCCGCAACAGTCCACCCCGTGACGGGAACACCCGGCATTTTTGAACACTGAGGTTGCTCCCGTGTTTTATGCCGCAGGGCGTGACACTGCCTTGCACAGAAATCTTTCTTCGCTTCAAAAAAGAAAATGAAAGTGATTCTCCTTCATAGCAAATATTATGTCTCATTGTATTGTGACAACAGAAAGATTTTCTTTTCTCATTACTGCAAATCAGCCTGGAAATGATACTGGGTATGGAATATTCTGGCCAGGTGGTCACAGACATGAGAGCCAAGCCAGGAAGGGCAGGCAGACTCCCAACAGAGCATTGTGGGGAGGGGTGACCTCTGGGAGAGCCGGGTGCAGTGCTGATAGAAAGCACAGGCTGGCCGCTTAACATAGAAAGGGCCACCTTCCCACAGGCTGGGGGCTGGGAGAGGGTCCGGTCACTCTGCTCTCAGAGTGGCTGCAGTGAAGTCCTTGGTCCCTGAGGTGGGGACAGTCTGGCCCCCCGGAGACCACTGCTCCTGGATGGAAAGGGGAGGGGCGGCTCCATTCCTGCCAGGGGATAATTGCCCTGCAATCCTGGCCGTAACTCAGCTCCTCTTACCTTGGTGACCTCAGATTTGGACAGAGAAGAGCAGGGTAGAGCTCGAGGGCTTGGGCGCTTTCCCATTCTCTCCATCCCATCTCATTAGTGGTCAGGCCGGGGCTAGGGCCTCTGCATCCTTCACCTTCTGTCCCTAAGGCCCCCGTCGGTGTCTCAGAGTCACCACCAAGGGCGTGTGTCCGTTCTCAGTCGGGCAGATGGCAGCCTCACATGAGGAGAGGCTGGCAGACCTCAGGTCAGGTTCAAATATATCCAGTGCATATGATCAGATGGCCATTCTGTGCTTTCTAAGTGGAATCAAGCCTGTTCCTTCCGCATGTTAGTCTGGGTAAGATCGCTTCATGAGGAGAAGAAAGTAATTTGCAAGCTGAATGATACCGGGTTCCCTTGTTATAAAAGCTGGCTCCAAGCCTCTAGGTTTAGTATCCCTGCTGCTGCTCAGGAATCTTCAAATTGCAAATAGCTTAATAAAACATACACCCAGCAGCACTGACGGGACGTTTTCCCCTCAGCCGTTGGCTTTTACAAGTTTCACAAGTTAAGTGAAATTCAAGATGAGATACAGTCAGGAAGGCTAGCTTTTTTCCTAGTGTCTATGTTTCTTTTCCATGTTTCATGAGCAGACATGAACCTTACAGATCCACGGGGATAGGTGTACTGATTCAGTATGTGCTGGAGTTCCCACCACTGGATTCTTAAGATCAGAAAGTAAGATCGCGTTTAAGGCCCTCAATGCAATCTGTCACTGTTTTCCTGGTGTGATTCGGACTGGGGGGTGAAGTGGCCCACCCCTGGATGCAGGGTTTTAAGTGAATGTCACAAAGCTGCCATAAAACAAGCCGAAGAAAGGAAGGAGGGGGGAATCTTCTGCCTCTCCACTTTGTTTGCAAACACCCATGCTCCTTTGGCCCGGGGGCACCCTGGCAGGGGATACTGCACTCAGTGTGCTGAGCCAGCAGTTAGGAGAGGGGGGGGGTCCATGGGGCACAAACTCAAAGGGTGCATTCTTCCTCTCCAGCCTGCTTCCTGCCCACCGTGAGGTGAGCAGCCCTCTCCCTGCTGTTTCTGTCCTGAAGCCGGCTGACTGTGGGCTTAATTGTCTAACCATCGTGAGTCCAAATGAGCTGTCCCACCAGAGAAAGTAACTAAGTCCGCCAGACTCTTTGAGAGTGTAACCAGGGAAAGCACCTGGCACCCCGGACAACTTCAGATCTCAGCACGCACTGTCACCCTCATGGCCCCAAGGGGATATTTAGTACACCTGGGGATGCCATTGGAGCACGAGGTGGTCGTGAGGCTTCTGCAGGTGAAAACTTGGCCAAAAAGAAATGCGCGCCCGTTTCCTCCTGCACAGGAGCCCAGAGGCTAGATTCAGCCCCCTGGGCATGGAACATGCGTAAAGTCTAATTAACCGGCCAGATTATGTTGATTATACAAATGAAAGCAAACTCATTAATTAGCAGGCAGAGTCTGTGTATGTAAATAGATCTCTGTGTCAGGAGAACACGGCGGGCTGCTCCTCGTGGAGGAATCTCTGAACCCCATGTGTGCCGACTCTGAACCCCAGCAGCACGCTGGCAGCCAGGGTTGGCTGCCTTCCGATCTGCAGGCCAGTCGTGCCGTGGGGCAGGACCCGAGGTGGGCACAGCGGGTGCGGCTGCCCTGCTGCCCGCTGAGCCCCGAAGTGATCTCTCAGGAGGGATAACACCGCCCTTCCAGGAGAGCCGTTGGGGTGGCCCTGGCGCAGTGGTGTGAGAGCTGGGACCCCACACGCCCAGCCACTGTGGCAGCATCTCCTGCACAGGAACCGGCGGCCACACCACCCGGGGCGGCTGTTTGGATGAGGCTTTCCGTGCCTCCATCTGTGCCCCGTCCACCTACTCTTCACCCAGCCTCGAGAAAGCACTGACAGCTACCACAGCGTGCACCAGGACAGCAGTGATGCAGAAGCCCAAGTGAGGGCCACCCTCCCGCTCTGGGGCGCAGGTCAGGTGGACAGGTCACCTGCCGCTGTGTGGCACATTGTCCCAAACTAGAAGCTCAGAACAACCAGATGTATGCACTTGCCTGGGGCCAGGGACCCTGGCCTGTCTTACCAGGACCCTCGGCTCTGAGGTGCTGAGTGGGAACTAGGCCGGGGTCTGGATGAGGAAGGGTCCCGCTGGGTTAGGTGTCCTCCGTCCTGCATACCTGTGTCCTGCCAGGGCCCGGTGTGTCCTGGCAGCAGAGGGAAGAGGGGCTGGTGGCCCTTGTGGTGCAGGAAGGTGCCCTGGGGTGACAAGTCCTGTGGGACCCAGAGAACCTGTGTGGGGAAGGAGGGTGTGGCTCGGCTGGAGCAGGGAGGACTGTTGGTGAAGAAAGGTAAACTGAGGCCCGGGGTAGAAAGACAGGAACAACAGCCTATTGTCTCAGCTGCCTGAGTCCCTGCCCCAGCCTAGGCGTTTGATCCACGGCACAGGAGCCAGGCGCTAATGCTTGCGCTGTGAACCACTGAGCCCCAGGGACTCTGCAATGGATTTTCAGCGTGGTGTTACAGTGACCCAGTCCACAGGTCCACCAGACTTCCCCCGCCAAACACTCGGAGAAACCAAGTAGGGGCCAAGAGAGGCTGCGGGGAGGAGTGCAGGCTACGGCCAACTGGGCGTTCCGGGCCCAGCTGATGCCACTCAGGTTCCGGTGTGGCCGTGGTCACAGAAAACAGAATGGGCAGGTTCAGTGCAAGGACACTCATACCTAAAGACCCAGAAGGACACCAAGGGCGACTCTATGAGAACTGCAATCAGGGGCACCACAGGTCCCCAGCTCCCCCGAGGTCCTTGATGAAAACTCAGACTTCTGGAAGGACGTCTAGAGCCCTGGAGCCTGGAGAAGAGGCAGCTTAACCACCCGCCAGCTTCTGGTTTCAGAGCTGAGTCCCCAGCTATCCCAATCCATAGGGTTCTGTGCCCCAGGGGTGATGGGGCAGGCACAGAGCCAGGTTCATGCCCTGAGGCTGTGCTTGTGCGTCTAGAGCCTACTTTTGGTTATGTCCGGGTCTGTCCCAAGCTGGTCGGGATGCAGGATCCCCTCTGGGTGCTTGTGCAGATTTCTGGGAGAACTCGGGGTTTTCATCTCCTGGGACTGTCCCAGTGTGTGGCTCGCAGGCCCGGCTTCCCCCACCACAGACAGCTAAGCAGTCACAGATGCTCAGTGCTCCCCACTGTGGCCCCAGGAGGCCAGACCGGGCCTCTGTCCCTCATGGGAAATGTCTTCTCTCCCTCCTGTACCAGTTCCTCTCCAGGGTAGAAAAAAGTCTTTCTTAACCAGTCACTTGCAAATGATTCCTCCTGCTCTGATCTCCTTCTCACCAGGCCAACGAGGCCAACGTGAGACTCACAGAGCTGAGGGGCCCCTCCTCCTCCTCCCACGGTGAGACAGCCTCTTACTGGGTGATTGGAGGGACATCTTGTAAGGAAATCTCCCCAAATGATGGCCAGCTCGAATAGCCCAGGACCTCCTAATGATCTGTCTGAAGCTGTCTGTCTGTGAGCTACCCAACAGCCAAAACTTAAAGTAAGTCAGTTATCATCCCCATAATCCAGTCCCTTTCCCCAAGCCTGTCTGTGAGCA